CTGTTGCTGAGGCTTTGATAGCTGTAGCATTTCAAATAGCATCATACTTGGTATATAGCTTGTTAGACTTAATGCACTTTTTAAAAGATAATTTTAAAAGTGCCTTCACATTAGGAAGCTTGTTTTAATGGAATTATTTTGTACTTAATGGCAGCTCTATTCAGAAAAGTGACTAAGCAAAAATGGCACCCTCTTAGGCTTGGTCAAAACACAAGTGGCACTGGTTTAATTAAAAGTGTAATATTGCATTATGTGTTTTAAACCAGCGCAACTTTGTAAGGGGATACTACCCCAGTTTAAACGTGGCTCACATAGGTTTAGTTTGTTTAAATAATAATGTAATTAACAGGGGCATGCTAAACCAATATAAGCCACGTTTGATCTGGTGTAGCGTTCACACACACAGTTGCACTGGTTTAACAAAATTAGTGCAATATTACACTTTTAGTTAAACCAGTGCAACTTGTTCGTAGAAGAGACCTTACCGATTTGGTCTCGGAGGGTCTGGCTACCCTGCTGCTAGGAGTGGTTAGGCAGACTGGAGCTAACACACTAAAAATAGTAGTGTGGCCATTGCACTTCAACAGGCTGTCAAGCCCAGGGGATCAGGTGGGCTTGAGGTCTTGAGCATCCATACTGCTGTTCAGGTCTGTCTACAGAGGCTAAGGGCATGGCTACACTTGCAGGTGTAGAGTGCTTTGAGTTAAACCAGCCTTCGTAGAGCACAGTAGGGAAAGTGCTGCAATCTGTCCACACTGACACCTACAAGCGCACTGGCATGGCCACATTAGCAGCTCTTGCAACGGCCACAGAGAGCTGTGCATTGTGGTAGCTATCCCAGCATGCAAGTGGCTGCAATGTGCTTTTCAAATGGGTGGTGGTGGAGTGTGACAGGGAGTGTGTTGTGTATGTGGGGGAAGAGAGAGTGGGTTTTTGGGGGGGGTGAGAGCATGTCAGCATGCTGTCTTGTAAGTTCAGACAGCAGCAGACCCCCTCTCCTCCCAGTCTCTCTCTCTCACACACAGCATTCAATAGGAATGGTTGCTTTGTCTCAGAGCAGATAAGCAGCCGGCTGTCAGAAACAGAGCTTTCAAAGGGCATATCCTCATTCCTGCAGCAATTCCAAAACAATGAGAAGAGTGGCCACTTGACTTAAGGGGATTATGGGATGTTTCCAGAGGCTGATCAGAGCACAGTAATGCAACACCTTGTTCACATTGACGCCTGGGTGTTTCAGCCAAGGTGCAACAAGCGTTAATCTTCTCGCTGAGGTGGAATACCAGGAGCACTGTAGCCTGTAGCCCTAAGACGCTCGCTCCCAGCTGCAGTGCAGATGTACCTGGAGCTGCTCTCCACAGCTTTGCATCTTGTGTAGTTGCTTGCCCCTGTTCTAAGTGGGTGTTAAATGCTACCATTCTGATTTAATAATATGTTTTAGACTCATGTAGGTCAGGTGTAAGCCTACACATATTGCAAGGCCATGGAGAATTGGACCCCGTTATGTGTATTCCCAGCAACATCAGTGCTTTAATCATTAAAGTAAGTTGGGTGACCCTACTTTTTGTGCTGAATTGTTTCACCTGCTAACAGACCCACTCATCTAAAGTGCTGAGGGCTGCTGGGGAGGGACTGAGCACTCTGTTTCCATTGAAAACAGAAGTGTTTGGCATATTGCAGCCTCAGCCCTTACCTTCCAACTGTAGGGCCAAATTTGGCCTTCATTTGCACTTGTGCAACCCCTTTGAAGATAATTAATCTGCACATGTGTAAGAAGGGGCAGAATTTAACCAGCAGAATCTTTATTATTGTTGATGATTTGTGAGCTAGAAAGAACTCAGTGTAACTAAATCTAGGTGGAGTTTGTAGGGCTGGCTGTTAGAAAACTCATCTTTTAACTTGTACTACAAATTTGCTTTGGAAATTTGAGGTAATAAATGTGAAATCTCATGCCATTTTTAGTCACCTTTCAGGGTAGAAACACATTTTAATACAGATTAAGGTTCCAATTAAAACAATAAGTACAATGGTCTCTTGTTGGAACTGTGTTATAAAGAACTGCATTATAAAGTTGCCATAGCTAGGTGCTGATGTTTTGTAATTGGCTTACTAACTGTATTACCAATGTGTCCTTAATGCTATGCCCTCCTTTGCCTGTAAAAGGGAAAACAGACTCCTACAAATAGAGTACTTGTTTCCCAAATACAGAATTATTAAAAAGTTGAGTGCATACTCAGTTAAGACCTGATCCTCCCTACTCAGGAGCCTAGCCCCCATAAGGACTGGAGGATCAATCTATAAAGTAGCTGAAATGAAATGCCTATGCTGCAGTACAGGCAGGCAAAACAATGCACTGGCATGGAGATTCATTGTGCTCATATAGGGCTTCCTTCTGCATGCCTTTCTTAATGGGAATTCTACGCAAAGGGCATACAGGATTGAGTGTATAGCTTGGAACATAAAATAGGAAGTACACCGCACAATGCCTTGTTCAGGAGCATGGGAAGTGGATGAATTACGACGGTGCTCTCTGAAAATGTAAGACTCACTAGAATGTTATATAAGGTGTTTTTAAATAAAAGCAAGTAAGTATTTTAATCTTAAAATCCTTGAAATGAGCACATTACACATGTCTTTTTTGTACACATAAATTTGTTTTGCTCTTGAACTGGCAAATGAGACTTGTTTTGGTCCAAAGCCAGATAATATATAAGGCAATTTCATGCCTAGTGAATTATAGAAGAGAATGTTTGGTACGTAAAGCTTGTGTCTACAGCCTGCTGGCTCCCCTCCCATTTCTCTTAATCCCTTTGGGAATCTTAGTTTGAACCATCTTCCAGAGCCTGAACAATTTCTAAAAGCTGGGAGATTGCTCCAGCGGAATGAAAGGAATTTCAAATATGATCCCTTTCCTCCCGGATGGAATTTCTTTTTGCTAATTCCAGATGGTGGCAAAATATGCTTTGATCTTAGCATAATGGTCATCCTTGTCAAAAAAACACTTTCTGAACTTGGGCTCAAAGGACACTAAAGAAAATTACTTTAAAAATATTTTTCTGGGCCTTTGTATAAACTTTTAGAAAGAAGAAATTATGGTCTGTTTCCTTACTAAAATGCATCTTCCTTCTTCACTTTTACATGCTGACAAATTAGGGTAATGCACAGGGGTGAGGCTACTGGCCTTACATTTTTTTAACAGAAAAAAAAAAAGTCAGTTTGTGAAGGGAGAAGGAGGAACAAGGAATTAAACTTTCTTACTAGTTGTGCTTAAGATGTGTGTATTGTAGGCTAGTTTTGGTTATATTGTGGGCTACTGTACCAGTTTTGGGCCTGATCCTACAACCTCGACTTACACAAGTAAACCCAGTGACTTCAGGGGAACTAATTAGATAAGGGCTACTTGCACAAGTAAGGATTGACACATGGGGTCTTTTCACAGATGTCCCTTAAGACATCAAAGGACTTTTAAAAAATGCACTAACATTTCTTCTGTGATACATTTAAAATAATCATGCAGATAAGGATGTATGAATGTATGCCAGGAGCATCATATGCAGTGGGGAGAGTTGTCTCCCCACACCAGAGTTTGGTTTGCCCCTCCCAACTTTTTGTAAGTCCGGTCCATTATGTCTTTCACTTTTGTCCCCTCCCCAACTTTGCAGGATATAATATAATCGCCTATAATGTTCTGTATGCTGACGCAATTTTGCTCCTTCCCCTGAAATTTTTTCTGAAATGATACCCCAGTGTATGCAAAGGTGATTCCAGACATACATTTGTAAAATGCTTTGGAACCCTTCGATGAATATACACCATATAAATGTACATCATAGACATCATTTTTCAGATACTTTCGTGTACAATTTTATACAGAGAGCAATTCCTAAATTTATCCTCAATGTCACTATAGTATTTAAAAAGAGCAAACTTTGGTGTACATAATGTAGTTACATGCCATAATGCTTGATCACTTTGCTTAATTTGTTAAGGAACAGAGATCCAAATTTTGCTTTCTATATTGGTATGAATAGTCCCATTGAAATCAATAGGGCTACTAGCCTACTTGTATGAGTAAAGGGAGCAGGATTGGCTCCATATTTTTCAAAGGAGCCATGAATTGTATGAAAATACTTAATATATAAACATGTTAAAATATTTATGTAGTTTTTTCTCTTTTCCTTCCCCCATGTAGGATGGTAGAGTGTGAAAATTTTGCCTTAGTTATTGATGTGCTGTACAAAGCTTAACAGTTCAATTTTATTACAGCTTGAGCCTTTTACCATGGCAACACAAATCCCATGTTGCAAAAATGTGGCCCACTCCTGCTTGCTTTGTAATCCATGAAAGTTCTGCTATTTATTTCAATGGGATCAAAATCAGGTCCGTGGTTTCTGACAAAATGGGACAAAATTAAATATAAAAGCAAGTAGAGCAATGTTGCTCATATATAAAATCCATGCAAACTAAAACCAGAGGGAAATCATTCCAGATGTACAAATCAATCAGGATAAAATTGCCAACACCTACCATACAAGAAGGAGAATCAGTGTTTTAACATAAAGTGGGCTACTAAAATGCAGTAACAACCTTAGGGCATTTCTACACTGCATCCGGGAGTGAGTCTTTTTTTCCTAAAATGGCATGAAACCAGCATTGTTGTAACAAAAACTCTTTGTTTAGACTAGTGATAGGATTTTTGGGCACTGTTTGGGGTACTGATAGAATTATTCTGCAGTGTTTAAATTGGTCATCTTTGCTTCTTGGATTCTTGGTTTTTTTTAAGCTGCTGAAGTTAGAACCAGACAAAATGTATAATACATTTTTTTCCTTTTATGAGTCACTTGAGCAATAGTGACTAAGCAATAGCACGAAGAGGGGCTTCATGCTAATGAACTACAGTATGCCTGGGTTTAAAATGTGGTGAAATATATTTGAATTTTTTTGTTAACAGTTTCCCAGTCTGGCTCAGTAGATACTGATTATGTTTTGACCTATCATTACAGAGTTCTCAATCACGTGTCACATGGAACTAACATCAAGTTAGAAACCTGATAAGGTAAGACATTATTTACCAGGGTTTTAGCCCACGAAAGCTTATGCCCAAATAAATTTGTTAGTCTCTAAAGTGCCACAAGCACTCCTGGTTCTTTTTACCAGAGTAAATAACCTCATTCTTTGGTATTAGTAAAGTGTAATATAACAGGGAATCCTGACAAGATGACCTGAAAGAAAAAAAGCAATATTTATTGTGGTAGCATAAGAAGACCTCATCTTGGATCTGTTCATTTATGTATAGCAAGATGTTGGTTCAGTATTTATGTTCAGTACAGACTACAAGCTAGATGGGATACCATCACACTCTCCTTGTGATGCAAATGGCAGGCATCGATACAAAGCTTTGCATCTGTTGATTCATTTCTGACTGGTGATAGTTTTCCCATGCTACTCTGTAATGAGCTTATCTTCCAGTGTGATTGCATGTAGGCAAGGGAAGGGTAGAGAAGGGAACAGGCAGGATTATAAAGAAAGCAACATAGGTGATTAAAAATGCATCATAAGGGATGCCTGTTTTCACACTCTTTGCATGGGTACTTTTATACTCTTCGCATGGGTACTTTTAGCAAATGCCCTAACTTAGCTTCACATGCCAGTGTCCCTGGATGTGCAAGCAGAAATGAGCAGCACTCCACAAATCTGAGAACCGTTACCATGTAGATTAAAATGTGTATTTGCTTCTGTTCAATCTGACGGTTTTGTTTTTATCATAATGAGGTAGATGTTATGTATAGAACATACTGCTAGGAAGACAGGATAATTAATACAGGGCCCTGCATATACTGAGTACTCAAAGAAGAGCATTAGTAATAGTGGCAACTGTTCACAAGCCATATAATGCCTTGTTCGTCTTTTGTTTAAAATGTAGAGCAGTGGCACTTTAAAAACAAAAAATGCAGTGTTTCTTGTCCTTTTCTATTACTTCGGAGACGTGAATAATCATCTTGGTAAATACAACGAGGAGTCCTTGTGGCACCTTAGAGAGTAACAGATTTATTTGGGTTATACCTCTCTACTGTATTCTCCACTCCGTGCATCTGATGAAGTGGGTTTTAGCCCACGAAAGCTTATGCCCAAATAAATTTGTTAGTCTCTAAGGTGCCGCAAGGACTCCTTGTTGTTTTTGCTGATACAGACTAACGTGGCTACCACTCTGAAACCCATCTTGGTAAGTGTCTCCCATTAAAAGAAAATTAATATGAGTGTAGAACAGTTTATAGTTTTCTCATTGCTTATCACTGAAGGATTGTTTTGGGACATAGTTTGTCATATCAGAATGTGCTAAATATCAGTCAAATTCTTCAAAACCCCTTTGTATTATATATGGAAGAACATCTACCAGTTAAAACACATAATTGGTAGTTGAGACATGGCCTGTATTTCTGACTCTGCAACAGACTACCTATGTGATCTTGGGTGATTCGCTTATCTCTGTCCTTCATCTCCTCCATTAATAAAATGGGGATAATACCTACCTCAGAAGTGTGAGAAGACTAAATTTTTAATGTCTGTAAAAGTGCCTTGAGATCCTAGATTAGAAGCTCTCTGGGTTTGGGACCACGTCTTTATATGTTTTCATAGTGTTTAGAACGAGGAGTCCCCAGTCCTGCATTGGGTTCTCTGGATATTACTCCAATGTATTAAATAATCCTTGTGTGAAACGGGTATAGCAATATCGGTATTTTTAAAAAGACATAGATGGGTTTAAAAAATTGTGGGGGAAGCTCCAGAGGAAGTACACAGCAGGAAACTTTCAAAAATGTAAAAATAGGAACTTTCAGATAGAGTTGGTATTTGTCAGCTGTGCTAACAGCTCTGAGCCTTGTATCATCTTGATGAGCCTTTCTTGAGCAGAAGCAGGTTCTTGACTGCTATTCTGGTATTGATGGTTTAGCAAGCTTCCCCCTGCCCCTCTCTTTAAAAGCTGAGTCTTTTGTCAGATTAGCAGTTACAGTCTGAGATATTTTTCTTCCTTTCAGCTCTTCCTGGAAACTACAGTGGGACCTGAAAAAGCAATATCCCAATGTGTAGTGTTCTTATTACACTAGCTGTTTACACACTTCATCCACTGGTGGAATGCAGCCATCTCTGGGATTGAATGCTGCTTAAAGCACAACAATTTACTACAGGACAATTTAGGACATGAAGTAGTAAAACAACAGAGACAAGTTAGGCAGGACACTTATTCTTCCAAGGAGTGCAGTGAGATCTCTAACCATGAGTGCTGTATGACACCTCTGAAAGAGTACTGTCCCATGTTGGGATGTATTGACTGAAATGGAAGAGTGACATCTATTGAATACCCTCCATACCATTTCCTACAGGCTTTTCCTTCTAAGCACTGAGGGAGGCTGACACCTGAAGAAGAGCTCTGTGTAAGCTTGAAAGCTTGTCTATTTCACCAACAGAAGTTGGTCTAATTAAAAGATATTTCCTCACTCACTTTGTCTCTCTAATATCCTGGGACCAACATGGCTATACAACTGCATACAACTATTTAGATTGTGCAATCTGATGAGATCGTGGTCCAAGATGCAGTGGCTTCAGGGCGTACGTGCATTAGCAGAACATCAGGACAAATGTGCTTTTAGTTTATTGATTTTCTGTTTCCCAATTAGAAAATAGCTTATTTAATAGCAAGAAATTTTAAAATGTTTTACCGTATATATTCTAACAAACAAGGCTCTTACCAAGTCAAATCTGGGGTTGACTTTGATGTAATTCTGTGGGTTTTTAAATTTTTAGCTCCTATCCTTTATTGCTTTCTGAAAATACTCATTATGAATGGATGGCTGATCTTAAGACAGTCTCTGTATGTTTTCCAGTTGCATCAAGCAATCCATACCCTAAAGGAATATTTAAGCTAAGTAGGGAGTAGTATAACAGCTATTCGGTAATAATACACAACTCTAAGTCCTCTGCAGCATTAGTGGCTGCAAGGATTCTGTTAGCAAGTTTTTGTGAACAGTTCAATAGATGCAATAGTTCAGCAAGAGATTAAAAAGAGGTTGTCTTCGTGTCTCCTCATGATGACCCACCTGTCTGGAGCATTGAATTATCTTTATTGCTTTTATTGAATTATCTAGTTCTAGTGTGTGCCCCTGAAAGCTTTGGTGCCCTTAAGTACTGTGGCTTCAAGGTTTTTAGATTAGGATGGTGTCTGCCATTCATAGCTAGAAACAGTTGGAGAGCTTCTATAATGGAAGGCAGAAATGGTATTTGAATTATGATTCACTGAGTAGGCTGCAACTTTGTAGCTGTTAGCTCCAAGCAATCCTGTTTGGCATGGGCATGTTCAAAGGCCTTCATTTCCCTGGTGTCATTGCTGTATCTCACCTATGTTTTTTCCATGTCTTCAATCTGCCGTCCTCCCCCCCATGTATCATTCTGATTTTGGATTTTTGTTTTGTTTTTCTTTTTTCTTTTTGATTCTTTCTCCCATTCCTCTCCGCTCTTTTCTCACCTCCAGTTTCCTCCTCTGTTTTTCTCCCTCTCCATTTCCTCCCATTTTTCTTGTTCCCTTTTCTAGTTCACTCCCATGGCTTCAGTCTTTTTCTGTTCTCCTCTGTTCCCAGTGTTTAATTCTCTAGTAATGTTTTCCACATAGTGTCATTTCTCCTATAAACATGAGGTCTGAGGTTTGTCCAGCCTGAACTGATGGATAGCTCAGTGGAAGTGTTCTGATGAATTTTAGATTATTTTCTTCGAGGCCACTATACCACGTCTTACCTGGTTTTAAGGCTCCTTATAGCCTATTAATTGCAGAATTGCTCTCAGTCAGCTGTAAAGAGCCTGCTCCTCTCCTGCTTTCAGTGATAATGAACTTGATCTGCATACTGCTGCCATCTGATATCAGTCTTGTGGGCCACTTCTTAAATATTATCATGTGGAAAGGGGAGGCACCAGATTTCTCCAAGGATTGCTTCCAGATTGCTGAATGAGGCAGAGAGAAGCAACTTTTTGTCATCTTTGCCAGTCGCTACTCTAAGTGCTGAGGCAAGTCTTACAGTGTCTCTGGTTAATGTTCCATAACCATGTGGTCTTTCATGCACAGCTCTGACCTATAAGTGTTGGTGTATATGAAAATGCAAATACAACTGGAAAGAGTAGCCAAAACCTTGAATAAGGTTTATTTGCTCTCAGCTTCATTTCTAAGATTCTTCTGAAATTACTTCAGAAAATCTATACGGTTTAATAAAGAATTAGATCCTGTCTGTAGAATTTTTAAATCAACTCGTAGATTTTAATAGAGATTTTATCCCTGTTATAGAATTTCATAGTTTTGTTTAAACATTCTATAGAAAGGCTCTTATTCTCTATTTTTAGAATCACAGAAATGTAGGGCTGGAAGGGACCTTGAGAGGTCATCTAGTTCAGCCCTCTGCTCTGAGGCAGGACCAACCATACCTAGACCATCCCAGAGAGGTGTTTGCTTAACCTGTTCTTAAAAACCTCCAATGACAGGAATTCCCCAGCCTCCATTGGAGGCCTACTCCAGAGCTTAATTGTCCTTACCGTTAGAAAGTTTTTCCTAATATCTAACCTAAATCTCCCCTGTTGCAGATTTAGTTCTAAAGGATTTTTCCAAAAGGGTTTTTTCTCTCTCCCCCTTTTTTTTAAAGTTATTCTAGTGGGAAATGGGGATGTGATAGCATTCCCAGCATGGAAGAAATGTAAAAACTGAAGCTAAAGCCTGGGTAGGGGCTTCTCTGTCTTTCTTATTCTTTATCTATTTACATGTAAAAGGCTGGGTTATTGACACTTTATCATATTTATTGTAGGTTCCTGGATCTTGTTGTCATAGTTACAGCCTGGTAGTCAGAAAGAGTTGAGCTGGTTTCAAAGTTATGCTAATTGACAGTTTCTCAGGGAAAATAATCCCCAAATTTCAGGCGCTAAACAATCATTCTTGCCCTAGAACTTGGGCAACTGTTTTGTGTAGCTATTCCTTATTGACCAGACTGCATATACAAACTGACTTTTTTGGTGAGATCAAGTTAT